GCATAATAAGTTGCCCTTGTATAGCTAGTTGAATTAAGAGGCTAAATGCATTAATGAGGGAAGAAGGGATTTATACTGAAAGCTGTGACACAGGAAAACTCCTTCTGAAATGTTACAGAAATTGTTATAACTGGACTAAGATGTTGAAGAGTTTGAAGCTTTTCATTGCCGGTATTGTTATTGTTCTTTTTAAAAAGAGTGCAAAAAAATTGAAGAATTTTTTTAAAAATGATATCACATCAATAAAATCCTGGATTGTGATTTTCACTGCTTACCCATTATAGAGGCCCTTGGATTTTTAATTGCCTGTGAGTTTACGATCATGGTTTAATAGTAGCAATACTACCGGTACCAAAACAATAACGTTATTTTTTTTCCCATAATGTCATTACCACAGAAACATAACACAAACAGCCTCATTGAAGACGTAATCAAAAAAAGATGCTAAATCCAAATGAGGAGGTTTGACCAAAACTTTGTCAAAGAGGTGGATTTTTTTTAAAGGGAGGGGTCTTGAAAGTGGAGGACAGGGTGGAGAGGCAGAGAAGTTGATAAAGAGAATTGTAAAACATGCAGTACAAGGCCAACAGTACTGACATGACACTGTCAGTGTGGCACAGAGGAGTTTCCCATTTCAGCCCATCACGTTGCATTCGCTTTTCAGACGGACAATTCGGTTTGGTCCACTGCCCTACTCCACCCCTTTCCTAGTATATTATTTTCACATGTCTGTACAATTCCCTTTTGGAAATCTCCTCTAGTGTATTCCAAATCCTAACCAATTGTTTGTTCAAATGATTTTTCCTCATGTCACCTCAGGTTCTTTTGTTGATCACCTTAAGTTTGTACCCTTTGGGTATTAACCCTTCAGATAATGGAAGGTTTCTCTTCACTTACTGGGTCTAAACATTTCATGACCCTTAAATCTCCTCTTAACCACCTGTGCAATGAGAAGGGCTCCACTCTATCCAGTCTATCCATGTAGCTGTAGACCCTGATCTCTGGAAACTTTCAATGCTGTACCTTCTCCTAAAGGCTTCATATCCTGCTTAAAGTGGGTGCCAGGATTGAATGGACACAATGATCTCTTAGCAAATTAGAAGTCAATGCTTGGTGTTGAATGCTGTCATCCAGCTAAATAGATAGCAGAACGTGCCAGCTACTTTGTTATATACATTTGAATTAAATATTCTTGACCTAGGATACATGTGTTCAATTAACTGGTATGCTGTGAAAGGCAGCTGCTTAGTGGAGATTGAATTTCATGCTTGACAGCGTAAATGATACATAGATCAATGTCTGTTGAATTTTTCCACTACAGCAATTTCTTTTCAATACCATTAGATCAGTGTAGAGAGCGACCTTTGAAGCTTCCCAAAATCCTTCCAAAAACATGAGCTCCCTTACACATCAAATAGTAAATGTGAGCTACCACTGTGAAATCACCATTTTTGATTGTGAAAATGGATAATGCAATAACATTAAATTAATACAGCATTTATTGAATGAATTCATTGTACAAATATTTAACTAGAGAATGACCCATGCATATCAGTGGAGGGATCAAAAGGGGTCAGTTTAAGTAGTATCTTAAAATGAGAGGGAGTCGTGACTTATAGTTTTAGGAAGGGGATTGCTTAGGGCTGAAATAGTTGAAGGCACAGATGGAACAAAGACAAATCTGAAGTACCTAAGAATATATAATCGTGCAACACAGACTGCAGAGTGTTTGAGGGCTGCAGGAGATCAAAGCAATTGGAAAGGATGATGCCACACAGGGAGAGAAACACAGGAATGTTAACTTCAAAATTAAGATATTGCTGGATTAGATACATATAGTTCATTCTCTTCCCTGAAAGACATTCATGAATCTCTTCGAATGCCATGGTGACATCATATAAAAAAACGTTTTTTTTAGCATGTAGGTGCCAGTCAAGTTATATAAATGCTAGTTATTTTTGGCTTATGGATTTCAAAAAAGTTGCCATGTCACTGTTTCAATGCCATTTCCTTACTCTGGATGCACTCAATATTGGCCTGGGAAGTCACTTCGTGGATTTAAAAAAAAAAATTCAATGAATATCTTTTCAGCATATTCAAGTTTGGTAATAAAAACTTATTTCCTGATAGCCATGACCCATAAACGCATTTTGAAAATGATTCTAGTTCAAAGGCATGCCAGAAGAATGTTTATGAGAAAATGAATATACATTCAGCATGCAACGTGCTGCCAAGTGACTTATCTCAGGTAATTGACCAACAAATTGCCATAGCGTCCACACCATCTTTGTTAGTGGCAAGTTAAAAAAAGGAAAAAATAGATTTCTACAGACAACTGTAAAGATTGGGAGGGGGGGGAGAGTGAGTTAATAGTATCTTAAACTACTAAGTTATCAAGTGAAGTGCTGATGAATCAAATTCAGTGAAACAATTATGAGTATGATGTTTTGAACAGCAGACCAGTATAACTCAGTAACTATCTGGAAGATGCCTATTCTTTCACAGACTGGCAGGAGCTGAAAGAATCCTGCTGTTTTAAATCCAGCAGCAATTCTTAATCATTGCATGCTCAATAGTGTTAAGATCTAAAAATTATTTATTCAGCTACTTCACAAACATGATTGGTGAAGTAAGACTGCTGTTTAATTTAGCATAAACAATATTAAGAGTTTCTGTTCTTGTTTTACATAAGAATGCAAGAAATAGGAGCAAGAATACATCATAAATTGATGCCATTCTGCTTTGCCATTCAACATGGTACTCAACTCCACTTTATCATACCTACTTTCTACATTCCTCAATTCTGAGAGATCAAATGTCTGCTTTAGTTATGCTCAACAGTGCAACATCCGCACCCCAAACTGAGGTATAGAATTTCAAAAAAATTTCACTGCCCTGAGTGAAGAAGTTTATACTCCTCAGTCCTAAATAATCACCCCCTATTCTGTGATTGCACCTATGTGTTCTAAATTTCCAGAGGAGACAAGCGCTTAGTGCTCATCCTTTCAAGCCTATTAGAATTTTTTGTTCCAATGAGATCACCTCTCAAACTTTTAAATGAGAGAAAAATAGTCCTAATTTTCTCAGTCTTTCATCATAACACAACCTTCTTGTTCCTGGAATGATCTAGTGAACTTTTGTTCAATTCCTTCTATTGGAAATGCATCCTTCCTTCAATATGGAGTTGAAAATTATGCTCAGTATTTTAGGTGTGATCTCACCAAATTCCTGAACAATTGTAACAAGAATTCCTCATTCTTGTACTCCATTCCCCTTGCTATCCTCTGCTTCAGTTCTCTGCCCAGAGGCTGGTCTAGTCCCCAGTTTCATACCCTTCACTGTAGCTAGGGCAAGGAGGTAGTTCACAAAACCACAGCCAAATTTACCAATAGCACAGGGTTAACGATACTAGCCCTCCAGTCAACTGGCCCTAAGGAGTTTGGAGTTGCTATGACACCAAGAACTTTTTTAAAAGCAGTCCTGTTGTAGCCTAGTGGATCAAATTACTTTCCATCATATGGCTGTCCAGGAATCTCTCATCACTTACCATTGGTGCGTGTTAAGAAGATTTACAAATTGATACTCAACTTATTTGGCCATATCATAAATGTACTTTGGTTGACCATCAAGGCCTGAGGTGGGATTTGTACCTGGTGTTCATGGCTGAGAGACAGGGACATTACTCCTCCACCACAAGACCTCCCTCTTGCTATAAAAGGTTAAAAATGTTGATTATTCCGAAATACTTGTTAAACTTGTATGGCAACCATTTTTCAAATATTTAGAAAATATTCTGCTCTTTAATTCTTAACCAGGGCTGGCAATGAGTGTTAGCCTAACCAGTGTAGTATCTCTTAAAGGAACGCAAGAAGAATTTTTCTGCATTATAGGCCATCTGCCACCTTGTGGCTGACTAATTAACCTGCTTTTTATCAGGTTACAGTCTGGCCATATCTCATCACTCACATTGTCACTCAGCTTTAAATTATCAGCAATCTTAGACACAATATTCTTAGTCGCGTTGTCCGAGGCCTCCTGTGGCAGTCTACTAGTTACAGCCTTCCATTTTAAATACCCATTTTATTTTGACTTTTTCCTGTCCATTTACCAGCCTTCCAACCATGCTATTATGTTATATGCAAAATTTAATTTAGAACTGTGTGTCGCACATAGCATGGAGATCAACTAACTCAGCAGAAAGGTACAGGATTGATCAATCTGGTCTGTACTAAATCAGCTAGAAATTCTTCTTGCCAACTGAACCAATAGAGGACTTCATATCTATGTACTTTTGTTCCAGCTGTGTACCCAATAACTAGCCAAGGTTCAACATTAGGTTCCTCTAGTAAAATGCACGTCCGTTAAAAGCACAATTGTGGCTATTCCCTGAAATGTCATGCAGGTTGCATGTTATCTTGTCAGTCTCTGTACGTGTGCATTATCAGTCCATCCCAATGCACATTGTTATGTTCTCAGGCCTTTTATATCTAATCCAGATATGGCTCTTCATGTCCATACCCACTTATCCAAAAAATTGGAGACCTTTAGCAGCAGATTCTATGAAGTCCTTTACCATTCAGATCATTTTCAAAGTTTTCCAGCAATTTTTCTTTGAGCCTATGACAAGAATTTAGGCAGCTGTTCAAGTCCGCCTACATGTTAGCAAATAACTTGTGTTCAAAAAATATTAATTCTTTGCTAATCAGGAGTTGGAGATCTTTGGTTGTGTCAAAATTGCATCTTCAAATCCTATAACATTTTGGCTACAAGTTGAATCCTTTCTCCACAACAAAAAAAAGTGATGTGGCCTGACAGATTAAAATAGAAAAAAATTGGCCTTTTCCAAATCTTTGTTGCAGGATTGATTACACATTATTCCAGTTGGATTATTAAATCATCGCCTCTCCAATGACAAACTCCAGTATGATTTTAAATAGTTCTGATGCAAGCCAAACCTATGTTTCCTTTTGTTGTCTTTCACCTACATTTTGCCTTAATAGGTGAGAGTAAGCAATTCCACAGGACGTGCAAGAGAGCACAAGGTTCTGCTCATGGTGACTTCAATGGTGGCCTGTTTCCTGCTATGCTGGCTACCTTATGGAGTTGTAGCACTCGTGGCTACTTTTGGACGTCCTGGTCTGGTCTCTCCAGCTGCCAGCATTATCCCATCAATCCTTGCTAAAAGCAGCACTGTCTACAACCCCATTATCTATGTATTCCTGAACAAACAGGTAAGACGCTTTTAAGAGTTATCACTCCTTCTGGTCAGGGGAAACTTCACATATGCACCAACTTCGTGCATTCCAATTGCCAAAATTGGTTTCATTAACATAATGGCAGAATGAACCATGGACCCTCAAACCATGGACCTACACCCGGACTGTACACATAATGATCGGTTTTTGTAGTGGGGATAGGAATGTGCTGGAATCATGACCACAGTTCAAAATGTGTAGAATCTATAGATGTCCAATGTTCACTGGAAGCATAGAGCTTCAACTTGTGATTGGCGGACAAGAATCTGATCTTTTACTACATCCATACTGTTCTTTTTTTAAGTCTCTGGACTGAACTACTCCAAAAACTCACTTCCCATTGTCCAACCTGCATAAACTTAAATCTTCCAAACTGTTGCTTGTATTTTAAGTCAGGCCACAATCCACCCATCATCCCTTTACTTACTGAGCTATATTAACTAATTATTTAGCATTCTCATTCTTGTTTTTAAATCTATGACTTTGACTTCCCTTTCTCACATCATTCAGATCTACAAATGTTGGAGATGTTGCTCCTTAATTTTGGTCTCTTCTACTTCTCAGATTTCAATCACTCCACCATTGGCAGGCATGGCACAGTTGCCGTGACCCTATACACTGGATTTCCCTTCCGAAGTCCCTCACCTCTTAATTTACCTTTCCTCCTTTAAAGATCCACCTTAAAACCCAACTCTTGGTCCAAACATCAATCTATTGCCCTAATGTTGTGTAGCTTGATGTCAAATTTTGTTAGATGATGCTTTTCTGAAGTACTCTGGACTGTTTTACTAATTAAAAGGTGCCATGATAATGCAAGTTGTTAAGGTTTTTTTAAAATAGTTTGGATTTTTTGTTAGTGGGGCAAAGGCAGGGAGCCAGCCAATTGCTGGTGGAGTTTGATCCCCTGTAGCCCAGCTACAAAATTGTCTCTCTCAGAGTTGGTTTTAATTACCAATGCTGTGCCAGTGCCAATAAGTATTCATGTTTTAGAATAGATTTGATCATTTCATTGCTTTCCATATATTTAAAGCTGCACTACCATTATGCTAAACAGTTTGAGGGCTATTAAAATACATTATAACTCCAGACATTTAGGTATGCAAGAGAATCAAGAGGAGAGCTTAATTTAAAATGTAAATCATTGACAATTTGAAGAAGGAGCAACAGTGCCAATTTAATGTACAGTGTCATTTAGCCCAGTACTACAACAACCAGTGAAGTTATTCACTAGGGTAAATCTACATAATAGTAAAAGTAAAAATATTAATAGTTTTTGCATGGTAGAAAATTAAATTTTGCTTTCACACCAAGGAGATAGTCTTGAGGTCAGTTCACTAAGTGCCCTTTAGGGAAGGAAATCAATTATCCTTAACTGGTCTGGCCTACACATGACTCTAGCCCATAGCATCGTGGTTACGACTTAACATCCCAATCAGCAACTGAAATAAATACTGGCCTAGCCAATGACATCCACGTCCCATATTTTATTTTTAAATGTTATTGGCTTACTTATAGAGGAGTGTCTCCAAAGAGAATTGTAGATTCTGGCAGTGATGCTCATTGGGATATGTCAAGTTGAAAAGCAGAGGCAGAAATATTGATTTCTGAGTGCTCACTCACTTATACCAATGTAGTAAATATTGAGTGTATATTGGTAATAGGAACATAGGAACAGAAGTAAACCTTCCATCCCAACAAGCTCATTACACAATTCAGTTAGATCATGGCTGCTCTTGATGTTATCTTCACCCACCCTTCGTTGAGTTACCTTCAAAATTTATCCCTAACATACACCTAGTAATTTCATTTTTGAAATTTTCAATTGGACTAGTCTCATTTTGGGTGGGGTTGGGAGGAGGGGTTTGATGTAGTGAGCCAAATCATTGCGTAATCACTGTGTGTGCAGATATATTTCTTGACATTGCCCAATATGTTATGCCCCCTTGTCTTTCCTACCAGAAGAAAATGATTCTCTTTCTCCTACCTATCTACTCTTTTAATTATTTGTCACCTTTTATTGACTAGATAAACCATTTATCATCTATTGACTTGACTGAACCAACCTGATGATTTGGCTTGCTGCAGTGAGAACACATGCTACATATGCCTTTAATTTCTTTGAATGATGTCCTCCACAATATTTGTATCCTGGCCTTTCTCCATTGATCTTTCCATCTTTTAGGCCTGGCATGTCTATTAGCATAATGCAAGGCCTGGTGTGTCCTGCTGTGAATATTCCTATCGTCTTGATGTCAATTTTCAGCATCAACCTTTCCCCACTTTCCTGAGAGTAAGATTTTCCCCTAATGGGATTTCTCCTTCTCTGTGGGATCTCTTATTCTAACCCAGCTAGAATTAGATAGTCTTTTAGTCACACAAATTTGTGGATTCTGCAAGCTGTGTTAATGCAGTCATATATTGATCAATGGATCCTTTTTCACCTTATGCCCAAATATTAAAGAATAGTACTGTCATTCTTTAAGTCGCTCACAGGATGTTGGCACTGCTGATTCGGCCAATATTTATCATCAATCGCCAATTCCCCCAAGATGGTGGTGTTGAGCTGCCTTCTTGAACTGAAGTCCTTGGGGGTAGGAGCATCCACACAATTATATGAAAAAGGAAGGAGTTGTAGGATTTTAAACCAATCAACAGTAGAAGAAAGGCGATACAGTTCCAACTTGGGATAGCTTTTGGCTTTGAGGGGAATTTACAGGTTCCGTTTACAATGTTGCTCTTGTCCCTCTAGGTGTTAGAGGTCATGGGTTCGGAAAGTACAGCCTAAGGAGCCTTGGTGGATAGTTTGCAGAGAATCTTGTAAATGCCACTGCACGTCGGCTGTGAAGGTAGTAAATATTGAAGCGTTAGTGAGGTATCAATCAAGCAGGTTGCTTTGTCCTAGACGGTCATGAATTTGGAGTTTTATTAGAGTTGCACTCATCCAAGCAGTAGTGAATATTTCATCACATTCCTAACACGTGCCTTGAAGATGGTAGACAGATTTTGAGAAATCAGGAATACACTCACTTACCATAGAATACCACTAGCCTACCTTTATCGGGCTTGTCCAATTTAGTCTTTTGTCAATGGTAAATCCACATCAAGACTTCGACACTTCTTGATGTATCAATAAAAGTTGCTCTAGGTTTTGAAGAGTTCAATAGTTTGAGAAGATTGAAGGAGTTTATGCACAATGTGTAATAATGCAGGTCTGTAATCTCTGAAAGCTGGCTGCTTCTCTCTATTGATAAGAAATGCAATGCACCCAGCTCTCCTCAAAAACAGAGCCTCAATGAGCTGTCTCATCTAACAGCAGATGGCAAACTAGAGCATGTTACAAATATCATCTGCTGTAGCTTGGAAGTGGCCAGACAAACGTTCAAACTTACGATTTTGATGCAATAGAAGATAAATAATTTTGAACAAAGTCTAAGTCCATACTTTTATGGGAGAGCTTTATTTTCATTAGCCACACTCCATAAACCCATTACTACATGGATTACCATAATATTGCTTATTAGCTTCCCATATTTATACAACCAAATTACCCTAAATGAATATCAATTACTGTTCCCGCATTCTATTAAAATCTGAAGGGATGCCTCAATCCTTTGAGATGTGAGCAATGGTCACCTATACAGCTACTGGTAATATTATCTTCATTCTGCTTGGAGTTGTTGCTGGAACAGGTAATACATTTTAGTGAGGACATCCTTGGTGAAGTGGCAACGTATGATACAATATTCCCCACAGGTTCAGGTTGGAGAACTGATTCCTGCATGTCTCAGGTGGATGTGGATCCCACTCTCCCTCTCCTCTTCTGACTTTCTTGGGCTCTGTGTGTTGTCTCTGCTTATTCTGAGCTGAGGGGCAATGCACACTATTACAGTTATTGTCAAAGAGCAAACAGTTTGAATAGAATGTGTGTAACCTCTATTAGAGATAACAACTTTAAATAAATTCGGAAAACCAAATTCTTTTAGAATCATAGTAAAAATGAATAGAAAAACACCAGAAATTCATCCAAAAGTATTTGGTGGCCCTTTTAAATATCACTGGTACCATTTTCAATTAAGAAATTAGGTAGAGTATTGGGCTCCAAGATGACATTGTTGATACTAAATTTTCATTACATACTGATTGAAGTCACAATTGGCCACG